TGTATGTATGTATGTATGTACTGAGAGAGGAGGAGATAGAGATGGTGAAGGAAGGAGGCAGGCAAAGAAATAAATTATTTGGTTCTATACCTCGAAGTACTAAGGAGGCCAGTTTGTTCATTAGTGGGAGGACTGTATTGTAGCTATTGGTGCATCGTCTGTGTGCTGTTAAACCCATGTTTATGTAGATCAAATCGCATTCAGCTGGCTGTATGTACATCCCATTTTTTTTTTTTTTACCTCCGTGTACTTCCATGACAGTCTTGTATTGAATGCAGTAAGTTATTTCCGTTTCACTTTGGTTTGAACCTAAGACCTCTGACCGGCAGGCAAGTGTCTAGCCACCGCACAACAGAGCCTTCCATTTTTTGATTCGTTGGTAATAATTGATATGTTTTTCCTTTTCCAGCTCTTAAGAAGGGAAACAAAAACTTTCTCGCCACGAGTGAATCCGGTAAGAGATAACAATCTTTCACAATAGGATATTTCTTTCAAAAATGTGATTTTTTTTTTTCTTTTCTGGCATATTTTCTAACGTAATATCCCTAAATGTGGCGTTAGTTTGCATCATGTGTTAGAAACATATTTATGTTAAATCGTTTCAATATAAATTTTAAACTGCTCCTTTCTATTTCACATTATCTATTTGATTCTGCCACTCCTTTATACATGTAAGTTTAAGAAGGCATAGTATACTCCACCAGGACATCACAGAAAGCGATAAACACTCGGTGAAAAAGTGCCACCATGCGGGTGAGGATCACCCGTGGAGAGGTCACAGAAACTGCGTTCAACTGTTAGGTTATAATATGTCCTCGGCAATAGCAGGGGTGGGGGGCTTTAAAATAACGAAAAATTGCGTCCCTCACAGGGACTATGTTAAACATTCGCGTATGTGTAGATTTCATACTAGAAGCTAGGATTTCAAATTTAAAAAAAAAAAAAAAGTTGCTGCATTTTCTAATTCTACGCGACTATGTTCATCTCGTGAATCTAATTGTATTCTATAGTCAAGGCGTTGTCGGCGTCAGTGACTCAGACGTCGAGAACACGATTCGTAATGCCAGTATGCTGGGTTCGATAGCATCTGCAGGCAATTTGGGAGCAGACCCTCTTGCGTTTGTTTCTACAGTGGTACTGAAAGCCGCCAGCCTAGTAAAAAATGGTAAAAAACTGAAGACAATCTTGCCTAGAAAACCACAACAGCCAAAAATGCCGGGGTTGGCTCTTCAACGTTTTCTAAGGGATCTGCAACTTACAAAAAAAAAAAAAAAAGTCATCATCTGTAGCAAATTAATTTATGCTTGCATTTTTCACAAAATGTTCCAGCCAATCAGAATTAATTGACAACGTTAGCGGCTTTCGCGTGAATGTTCGTTAGTTTTGGCGCCTTTTCGACATCTCAGATGATAGTGTTGTATCGCGTTAGACCGCAGTCATGACGATGGCCAATGTGACTAATTAAGACCCGCCCGCATTTAAAAAAAAAAAGGTCTTCCACATCTAGAGCATAAGATTTCAGAAGCTATGCTGCCACCAAATGTGTTTCATGTGCATCTACACAGATGTTTAGCTCTCAGCCTGTATGTAATAATTGTCTCCTTCATTCTTATTCTCCTCCTGGTGTTCCTAGTCCACGCAACAGGGTCCATGACATTCTGGTCCAACGAATCTACCTCTATATTCTAATCAATCATGTCCAGCTTGCACACATTTTATATCTTAGTAGAAGCTTACATCGACATCTTCTAGGTATTTGCAATTCACAATATAAGATGTCCTTAGGGACTCTCATCATCTTCATTCAGCATGTCCTTTACAGAACGTCGCTCTCCTCATGGTAATCCTAAAAGTATCCCCTATCCCTAGCCAGCTCTCCAGCCCCATGCGCTTTCAATGCCAATGCCTCTTCAATGTCCTGTATCCATCTTCGCGGAGGTAGACCCTGGCCTCGATTTCCACAAACTGCACCCGCCATCACCATCTTTTCCAAGCTACCATGACGTTTGATGGGACTCTACCATGCCCATTTCTTCAAGTGTAACTCAGACACATGAGCTTTCGGAGACTATGCATTGAGTAAATTGCTCTTTTGAAAACCTTATTTTGTCACATAATGCCAAGTATTCTTCTTAGAATACCCCTATATACTATAGAACAGTTTTGTACCAAAGCTAGTAGGTCTGTCACGCTAAATGGACGAATAAAGAGCTGCTTCTAAACAACTGTATGAGTCCGGCATACACACAACGAGTTATGACTGACACCCCAGAGAAACATCATTGGACAGTTAGTGTAAGACGACACATGGTAAAAAACTTAAGGTTTATAGATGTCATCGATGGGTTGGCCGGGAAGAACCAGAGCTAGTCGAACTTGTAAACGTCCCTGTTGAAACATCTGCCAAGTAGGGCATCAAAAATAAACACGTAAAAGTGACTAATAATCCGGCTGGCATATTTACATAAATTTACGTTAATGGTGACACATTAAAACGAGTCAATCTTTCACAAATTTAAGATCCATTTTAAGTGACCATCCAAACTAAACCGAAATAATACAAGTTAGTAGAACCCCTGTCCCACTACACATTCAGCTGAATGGTTCTGGTCTGAGTGAGGTTAGGGAGTTTAAATATATCGAAAGCATGATCACGGAAGATAGTAGAATTGGCAGAGAAATATAAACCAGATGTCAGAAAGCAAGTGCACTTGTATACCAATTGTCACCATTGTTAGGACATCTGAGCCTAAACATATTATAAACAAAATACTCATTCCAATGTTAAGCTACCAGTGCCAGACATGGACACTTATCTAAAGCCCATATTCACAACATCTCTACCTGTGAAATGAAATGCCTGAGGAAAGCAGCCAACCTAAAGATTCAATATCGAGTAAATAATGATACTGTCAGACAAATTGTGGGAACGACACCTAGATTCATCGAGAAACAGCAGTTTAAGTGGTTTGGCCATCTCTCTCTCTCTCTCTCTCTCTCTCTCTCTCTCTCTCTCTCTCTCTCTCTCTCTCTCTCTCTCTCTCTCTCTCTCTCTGTTCTTGTCATCTTTACCACAGAAGAAAGGTAATAACAGTATGTTTGGAACAAAGCACGCTGCAAAAGATGCAGAATCAGAAAAGCAGGGCCCTGTCTGTCTGGGTGGTTTCTCTCCTAAACCAGTTGACAGCTAAGGCTAAGGACTTTGTTTACCCCGCTTTAATTCACACCCAATGCGCTCCTCCTCGAGAAACCGTTAGCGCTGCGTTGGATGTCAGGTTCATAAACACCGTCCAACATTCGGCATGTAAAAAGTTAATATAAGGTTTATCTGCTACGTCGAAAATCAGTTCAAGGTAAAGTTGGGAAGGAATATCTATAGCAGGAGTTGCTGTCATCTATGGCTGTCGTACGTGTGAATACTAATACAGTGGAACCTCGCTTAACTAAAATAATTCGTTCCAGAATCATTCTCGTTAAGCGAAACACTCGTTATGCGAAACAATTTGTCTCATATAAAATATTGTTAAATACGATAATGCGTTTCATGTCGAACAAAATACTCAAAAAATGCTATGTATAACGTTTATTCAATGAAAATTATATACATATTGTCAAGGAGAGGAAATCATCTTTATCTTTTCTTCCACTGCGGAACCAATCCACCTGGAATGCTAATTCGATTTGCAGAAAGAAAAAAAAAAAAAAAGTCGAAATAATTATCATACATAGCTAATTATTTTTTTTTTTCAACTAGATAGATGTCCAGAAACGTTTGTTTTGCCGACGCTTCAAAATTTGGCGAAAATGCGACACAGGATTATCAATAAAAAAAAATTTGCAACGTGCACAGCCAGTTCCTTATTAGGGTGATGCTTCTTAATGTAAGATGCAACAGTTTGCAATGCTTTCAGCATTTCTCTTATTTCGCCAGAAGATTGTTGCTTTTCTGTTACTTCCTCCTCTGACAAACTTTCCTCCAAATCTTCTTAATGTGAAACACAATGCAGCTCCATAAGCTCTTGGGTGGTCAGCTCTTGGCCGTTCTCTTCCACAAGCTCTTCGAAATCACTGTTATCCACCTACAATCCCATGATAGTGGCCCAAAACACAGTCTCGTTGACTACAGGTTCCACGGGTACTGTCTCGAATCCCCTAAAGTCACAAATCGACAGCGCTCTCCGATCAAAGATTCTTCCAAGCAGAAGTTAGGGTTCTCTTGGTAACAACTCCCCCGCCTTGTCGATCATCTTGAGACAGGCGACGATGTGGAAGTGATTTTTCCAAAACTCTCTGAGAGTGAGGTTGATCCCTTCAGTCACTTGAAAACAATGCTGGAAGAGTGCTTTAGTGTAGAGCTTCTTACAGTTAGAAATAACTTGCTGTTCCGTGGGCTGGAGTAACGGAGTGGTGTTAGAAGGCAGAAACTGGATCTTGATGAACTTACATTCTTCAAGGAGGTCATGTTGTAGGCCTGTAGGATTTATGTATATATATCACAATATAACACATGTTTGAGAAAATGTGTGATCACAAGCGACACTATAATGCTACTTGAACGAGTGCTAAACACAGACTGATGTAACATGCGCACAATACGGGACTCCACCTCTCCTCGCCACTCGTTATGCGAAACGTCGCTCGTTAAGCGAGTCATTCTTTTACAATTTGTTTTGCTGGTTATGAGAGGTGCCCCGTTAAGCGAGGTTCTACTGTACACGTAAGCCTGCGTCCCAATGTCGGACGCAATTTTTGTATGTTCTAAAGCCTCACTCTAGATGTTGTAACCCAACCTAGAGGTTGAACAGGGTTTATGGGACCTGTCCCCGTGTGATCCTCGTCTAAATAGTGGGACTTTGTGTTGCCGAGTGTTGTGTTTATCGCTCGATGTGATGTCCTGGTGGGGTTGATCGTCGTCATCATCATAAATAACAATGTGCATGGCACTTAATGGAGATAACTGATGTGGTTACTTCAAAGCATTGTCTATTCCTGGCAGTAAATGACAGCTTGTTGTGTCATAATAAAGTACTCGATACTGGTGTCACGAATTCAGCTTGGCAGTAGTCGCCATGACTATAGTCAACTATTGTAATCCATGTCCTTATACTTTTGCTACACTACTGCTGAACTTGTACAGCTTCTACATCCAGTAGAAATGTCACTCAAAATATAATTATGAACGTACACATACCTAGTCACCATCATCATCATCATCTGCATTATCATCATCTGCATCATCATCATCAAGTGCCTTGCCGACTGGCGTAGGCGATCATGCTTCTCCACAATCTGCGATCTGCGGCTGCGTGTATTAGTTCGTCTGCTGACACCCCTCTAGGCAATGACTGTCAAGAATCTACTCACACTGTCTTCCTCTCTCTTTTCGCATAGATCTTTTAAGAAGTCACAACATTTTCAATTTTTCTTCTTCTCATACATAACATGGCCAAATATTGATAACTGTCTCTTTCTGATGTTTGTGATGTTGTATCCTAGCATTCGCATCTTTCGAAACACCTGGGTTGTTCTTCCTTGCTGCCTAATGAATTATAAGGATTATTTTGTAAAACCGCATCTACGAGGCCTCAAGATACTGTTTGGCCTGTTTATTAATTGACTTGGTTTCCTAGCCGTGTTCTTAAACTGGTTTTATATAATATGCGAGAATTCTTTTCCTAATCTCTAGGGACATGGATCTATTGTACACAATTTTCTTCATGAAAAAAAATCCGTTTCAGCCTGGCCTATTCTATTTTTATATCTGTAAAATATCCTCCATATGATGTTATCCATGTGCCTAGATAATTAAATGTCTGGACTTGTCCTAAAATAACGCCTTTGACTTTTATTATACATTTAGGCACTATTCTTTTCTTTAAAATCACAATTATTTCTGTCTTTCCAATAATCAAACTAGGGCCCATTTTATCACTGTTCATCACCACCCTATCTATCAGTTCCTGTGGTTCTTTCTGACTTGTCGCTATAAAGACTGTGTCATCAGCATAACGTAGGTTATGTTATGAGCACCAACCACGATTCATGACACATCCATGATAGATCTCATTATATATTCAGGGTACAACGAAAACAAATCAGGCGGTAGTATGCATCCTTGTCGTACTGACCTCTTTATGCTCTGAAATGTTCCACACTGGTTATTAATTCTGTTTGACGCCAATACATGTTCTTTAAAATTCGTAGATCTTTTTCATCAATGTTTAAATTTTTCAATAGTTTAATTATTTTTTCATGTTTCACACAATAAAATGCTTTCGTATAGTCCATGAAACATAAGTAAACATCATCATCCACCCCCCCCCCCCCATTTCTATAGCTATTTCCGAAAGAGTACTGTGGATGTATTTGGCATTGTTTTACCTTTTGTTTCTACATACATACATACCAGACTGGTGTAGGGTTATAATCACTTTGGGACGGGCGTGCAGGGACTGGCCAGCTGGTGCTGCAGAATCAGAAGTTCAACAAATGATTCATGACAATTTCTGCCCAAGTGATGTGATTGTATATACAGATGGCTCTGTAGTGAGGGGCAGACAAAGTGCATTGGGGTTCATAGCGTGGACGTCGCTTGGCGCAACAAAGCCTGGCATATGATATCACAACATCTAGTTTGACAATGGAGGTGGAGGCAGTCACTGCTGCCTTCCGTTGGCTTGAGAATCAGCTGTACACACATGTCGTCATTGTAACTGACTCACAGAGCATGCTGAGAAAGATAAAGACAGGCATGCTCTGTGCAGAGTAGCAAGCATCACTTCAGAGGTCCCGGGTAGTTAGCATTCTTTGAATATTTTCTCCAGGTCAAGCCGGTGTGTTGGGAAATGAGCAGTTGGATAGACTGGCCGGTTCTGCATCAATTGGTGGTGAACTGATATATGACAAGCTAAATGATGTGAGGGCCCTTTGGGAGCGAGTGAACAGGGCAGAGGAAAAAATAGATCATTACCGTCTGAGGAGTATGGCACTTCGAGGAGTTACAAGGGGATCTGCCTGACGCTCGACACTCGGGGGAGGAGCGAGACGGATATACAACAAGACTGTCACCATCGAAATTTTAACTCTTCGCTTGCTGCTGAAGATGGGGACAGAGCGCTTATGGGAGTGTCCCGTGTGCTGTGATGTCGATTCTTAATTCAACATTCTACATACTTAGTATCCTCTATCAAACATTTAAGTTTTTTTTTTTTAATTCATGTGTTATTATCCTTGTTATCTATTTCTCTTCGTTTTCGAACAAAAATTGTTGTGTGGATCAGAGCCTGATATATTAACAGCACCCGAAAACACAAGAAAAGAAATTGCAGCTGTGCATCTAATATGGGAAATAAACACTTGAAAGTTAAGCAAACCAATACCTTGTCATTGACATACATAAATAGTCTTTCTGAATTAGTCGAATGTTGGAACAACAATGTCATTGATATAAACGAAAAACAAAGCCTTTAATGAAACTGCAAGAGATACTTAGAGTATCATTATTCATATGATTTTTGACTTTATCAGGCAGGCAACGCGGCATTCCCCTGGAAGACTTTTGTCGCATGGTGTGTACGTTTCTGAGCCAGAAGCTTGACATCAAAATTAATTGGGTGTTTGGTGTCTATGACACAAACAACGATGGTTCTCTGAGTAAACTGGAAATGCACATATTACTAAAGGTAATAATTTTATCATATCAGAAAACAGTGTACCGCTCATCACTCCCCCATGCATCAGTCTCACCAGACTGTGGTGATCCATCTACTCCTCCGAACTGCACAAGCTCTCCCACAAGGAACTAACCATGTCTGCCCTATAATGCATCAATATTCCCCCAAGTTGTGCAGAGAGGGCCAGTCTGTCCGCCTGTTTATTTTCGAACACACCAACTTTGAAAACAATCCAGACAATACTCCTCACCCGTGTCCACCGCAGTGAAGCATGCTACTCTGCTCGAAGCATGCCTGTCCTTGTCTTCCTCAGCATGCTTTCTAAGTCAATTACAATCATGATGTGTGTGTGTCGTGTTCTCTAACTAGCGGAAAGCTGAAGTGACCGCAGTCACCTCCATTCTTAAGCTGAATGTTGTGGTATCATATGCTAGGCTCTCCTGCACCAAACGTCGACCATTAACTTTTGCTAAGAAACCCCAGGCACTTGTTTTGCCTCTTGACACTGACCCGTCTGTATAAATGATCAAATCTTCTAAGCGAGCACTATCTTGAATTAATTGCTGAATTTCCACTTCTGTGGCACCTGCTGGCCTGTCTCTGCATTCCCGGCTCAGTGTGATTACGACCCTACACAAGTCTGACGGTTCAGGTGGCACTTTGACCCACTCCTCTCCTCGCCTAATGTTCTCAAGGATGCAAACCTGTCAGATTGTGTGTTCTGCATGAGCCATCCATGATTTTCCTTTTATCAGCCGCTGACCCTTAACTGAACCCAGAGCTTCGTGCAAAGGGTGGTTTGTGTCTGCAGCTACCCTAAGATACCCTAAGTTATGACTTCACCTGCAGCACCTTGTGCCTACCTGCAACAGTAGGGAAACCAAGGATGTATCGCATACACGCCACTGGGGTGTCTATGGTGCAACCCAGAATGACACGCATTGCTGCGTTCTGTATGCGCTCTAGTTTGTCCATCTGACTCTTTGAGACAGTAAGCAGTCCCCGGCCATAATCAACCACTGACAGGATCAGGTGCTCATACAGTGTGAAAAGCATTTTCTGCTATATGTCAATTACAGCCATAGTCTTAAGTGCATTAGGTCCTTTTTGGCCTCTTGTCACAACACTCTCCACATGGTCCTTAAAGGACAGGCTTCTGTCAAATGTAATTCCCAGGTACTTTAGTTTGCTCTCTCTGTTGACGTTTCTACCATCTATTGTGAGACTTGGGACATTAGCTTTAACGATCCTGTTGTCTAAATAACACGACAAAACAGACGCCTTTTCCGGGTG